GGTAATATGCAAACTGACCCTAACAGCAGAAAGACTGGGAATGACTGGTCACTATGACACACACTGACCACCAGGGGACAGACGCTCAATGCAGGAGCTGCCCTCTGGTGGTCAGTGCGCTCTCACAGTGGGGAGCTCTGCTCAGCCACAAGCCAGGCTGACGGCTGCCAGTACAGCAGTGGTGGTGGGAGCCTCTCCTGCCTCCTCAGCAGCGCTAAGGATGTCTGACTGCAGCTTAGGTCTGCTCCCCGCTGGCAAGTGGACATCCCCTGAGGGCTGCCTGGCTGCCAGAGGGATGTCTGATTGCCATCCTGGCCCAATCCCCTGGGGAGCAGGCCTAAGCCAGCAAGTGGTCACCCCCGAGGGGTCCCAGACTGCGAAAGGGCACAGGCCGGGCTGAGGGACCCCCATACCCCCGAGTGCACAAATTTTTGTGCACTGGGCCTCTAGTATATATATAAAAGCCTAAGCAACTGTTTGACTGGCCGTCCGACTGGTAGCTATGACGTACAATGACCACCAGGGGGCAGACGCTTGGCAACTGCAGTTCTTGGGTGATGCACCTGGAACCAGAGAAGAGGGAGCCAGATTCCAGGGTGTGTCACCCGAGAACCACCCTCTTGCAATCCGGGACCCCTTGGGAATGTCAGAGAACTGGTTTTGGCCCAATCCCCGCAGGCCAGGCTGAGGGACACCCACCAGTGCACCGGGCCTCTAGTGTAATAATAAATTCTTTGATTACATAGACATGATGCTCTACAGATTTTTAGACTTTATATAATAGTAGTCTTGATAAGCAACAAAAAATATAAGCTAAGTAATCAATTCACATATATTTTTAAAATCTGGCTTTAAATTACTACAAATTATAACAGAGCCCAATGAGTAGGTCTTAGTCTTTTCAATTTTAGTTTCATTTCGTTTTAGTCACTGACAGGTGCTCCATATTCATGTATAGGATGGAGCTAAGCCCATTCTACAAAAGCCTAAACAAAAATGAAGTCTACCTAGTCCTTTGGTATATGTTTTCTCAGAGCAGTCCAAGGACCTGAGGTAGTTTCTGAAGCTCCTTCAGGCAGTCTATAAACTTGTCTCTTGTAGTATTCATGTTTATACCACATTTTTTCCAAGGTTGTAAATGAATTATAATCATTAATTTAAAAAATAATTGATTTCATTAAAAAAAACACCATCTCAGACCCTAGTGTTTTGGCAATCTGGATCTGTTTTTCCAGAGACAAGAAAAACAAACAGGTTTCCAGTCTGTAGGATTACATTTCTATTAATATAATTCATTTTCCTAATGATGCTATTTATCAAGTGTATCAATTATATTAGAACAGGAAAATATGAGATGTCTTTTTAAAATCTATATTCCTACTTTCAAACAATTAAATTTCTTACCAACCTTCACAAGTGGCATCTGCTCCATAGGTACATTTTCAACTGGGACATAACATGTATAGCAGTAGAACATTCTTGAACCACCACATTTAAGACATTTTGATCTTCCACTTTGCTGAGCTTTTTGAAGAACTTCTTGAGATGCTAAGCATAAGTTTTGAAGAGGATCTTCTGCAGCTGTGGAAGTAGTTTGTGGTTGTTGTATTTCCACAAATCGTGAATTATTTTCTTCCCTCTCTTTGAGAAATTTAGGTGGGCTGAGAGACATTTTTCATTCAAACCGAAGTTTAACATCTATTTCTACAACACATTATCATAGGTGCACTGGAAAAAAAAATAGTGGGGGGCGGGGGGCAAAATAAAAACAAAACATTTTACTCACTGTCTCCACAAATAAAATTACTCAATTTAATTCACAACTGTGTGCTGTTTTTAGAACAAAAGTTATCAAGTTTTTAAATCACTAAATTAGCATACTTTTGAATTAAATTTATTGGAAATACAAAATTAAAATGCAATAAACTCAAAACCATAAATTATCCTTTGGAGCGACCCTCCCATAAAAACAGAAAGGTGCTCTCTTAGAAAACTTATTTCAAATATAAAGTTTAGGTACCAACAATCCATTTTTCAGTGGCTATCTTTGTTTCCAAAACAGTACTTTTGTTTTATATTAGGAATGCAATGGCTTAATGTATCAGCCAGGAATGTATTCAACCCGATAGGCTCTTTGAATTGATATTACATCACATCTTATCTCAACCAGAACTAATGAAAATACAAGGTTCCAATATAATCAGCAAAATTTAGTTGGTTATGTTCTAAAAGATACGTTCCTCTCCAACTTAAAACACACATAAAAAATAAAACTAAAGTCCTGGCCGGTGTGGCTAGTGTCCCACTGAAGGGTCCTGTGTTTAATTACTAGTCAAGGGCAAGTGCCTGTGTTTCAGGTTATAGTCTCAGCTCTGATGTGTGGGAGGCAACCAATTAATGCAGTGGTTCTCAACCTTCTGGCCCTTTAAATACAGTTCCTCATGCTGTGACCCAACCATAAACTTATTTTCGTTGCTACTTCATAACTGTAATGTTGCTACTGTTATGAATCGTAATGTAAATATCTGATATGCAGGATGGTCTTAGGCGACCCCTGTGAAAGGGTCGTTCGACCGCCAAAGAGGTCGCGACCCACAGGTTGAGAGCCGCTGAATTAATGCATCTCACTCACAATTGAAGTTTCTCTCTCTCCCCTACCCCTACTCCCTCTAAAAATCAATGGAAAAAATACCCTCAGGTAAGGATTAACAATAACAACAACAAAATATATAAATATATACATATATATCAAACATCTATTAAAATATGAGCTGCATCTACTTTCAATTATTTGTAAAACATCCCAAAAGATAAAATATATACCCTGAAAAAGAAAGTACAATCTTATAAATTTAAAGTTTTGTAGAGTAACATTAATATGCACTCATTCTAAGAATTCCTACTGCTTTTTTTTTACACCATTCAGATTATTAGTTCTAGAAATAAAATAGGAAAATGACTTTTCCACTTAAATATTTCCTTCAAAGAAGGATGATGGCTGCCAAAACTGTATTCAAATACTCTGTAAGCACAATATCTTTTGGGTAGAAAGAGACTGGGGCCTTTTGATTTTATATGCATTCCAAAACTATAAAATGATTCTCCTATTATAAAGTCTTAAGGCATTGTGGGTTTAACTATGAGGCTCCAGGCACTCTGACAGGCAAAATACTGATTGCAACAGGAAATGGTCTCCCAAATAGAATATGAATAAAAAGTCCAGTGGAACATAATATACAAGATAATTTACCAACAAGAAGTTTAGTGATACTAATTTAATTACTCATCAGGAGTTTATCTACCTATAATTAAAAAAGCATTAACATGCTAATTCAGGGGTGGGCAAACTTTTTGACTCGAGGGCCACAATGGGTTCTTAAACTGGACCGGAGGGCCGGAACAAAAGCATGGATGGAGTGTTTGTGTGAACTAATATAAATTCAAAGTAAACATCATTACGTAAAAGGGTACGGTCTTTTTTTTTTTTAGTTTTATTCATTTCAAACGGGCCGTAGTTTGCACACGGCTGTGCTAATTAGACTGGACAGCTGAACAACCTTCCAGACGAAGCCAGGGCTGCAAGGGCTAAGCCCCTTGCACGAATTTTGTGCATTGAGCCTCTAGTATATATATAAAAGCCTAAGTGACCATTACAACCGGAACGACCAGTCAACCAGTCGCTATGACGCGCACTGACCACCAGGGGGCAGACACTCAACACAGGATCTACCCCCTGATGGTCAGTGTGCTTCCACAGCCAACCTCCTATGGTCCCTCACCCCAGCCAGCCGGCCAACCTCCCACAGCCCCACCCACCCCTGGATGGACCCCGGATAGGCCTCAATAAACATTTTTGATGTGTACAGATCAGGTATAGATTTACATTTTCAATTTTTCAGAAAAAGTGCTATTTCAGAATAATAGTCCAATCACTTTTTCTTGTCTCACAAATGGAAAACATCATCTACTTCTGACCCCCACACCAAATCACCTACTCCAAAATGGCTTCTATCTTTGTGAATATGCCCTCAATGACTAGAACAGTGCAGGATATTAAGCTGCCACCTTTTCTTGAGCCTCAGATCTTTTTAAGATCACTTGAGAGTCTCACACCTTACTTGCAGCAAATGAATTTTACAGACACGATGTTTTTCTCACAATTTCATGAGATTTGTAGATCAGCAGAATTCATCTACAGATACATATAAAGAAATCCTAAGATCAAAAAAACTCATTCTAAGTACAGGAGGCAGCCTTAAAAGTCTAAATTTGGGAAAGAAAAAAAAAGTCTAAATTTGGGTTTGTTCTGGTGTTGCCTGCAGTCCTTACAGAGAAACATTTTTAGGCTGTACCAATCTTGAGTTACTTCAATCACAGGACTCCTCCTAAAACAAACAAACAAAATGGATTGGACTAATTCATTTCCCTGGGTATTCAATGGAAAACTACTGGTGCATTTTTTCTAGGGCTCTCAACATGCACTCCTCCTGAGATGCCTCAGAAACATCCCCTATACTTGGGCTTCCATCCATAGTAACTAAATAGATATTAGTGGAACCTTATATAAATATTGTTCCCCTACAGAAATCAGATATAAATACCTGTGAGACAGTGAAAGGGGCATATTTATGACTCCCTCCCCTGACTCACCTACACACTCTCACTTATGGCTGATGTGGCCACAAAGAAGAGGTCAGCAGTAGTAGGTCATGGGCAGCTACCTCCAAAGGTCTCTGAAACCATATGACCAGCCAAGAGCCTGCCTCAAATGTGTACAAATTATGTGTTGCAAATGTGATGATTCAAAACCTTCAAAACATACTTGTTAACACCAAATATATGCATGGGAGTTATTTGGAAAACATAAAGAGACTTTATATATGTTTGCTGATACAGTTCCTAGGGCAAGGGAAACAAAAGATAAAATAAACAAGTGGGACTACATCAAAATAAAAGGCTTTTGCACAGCAAAGAACCCATCAATAAAAGGAAAAGGGAGCCCACCATATGGGAGAACATATTTGGCAACAATACATCTGATAAAGGGTAATATCCAAAATATATAAGAAACTCATAGTTTAACAAAAGGAAGACAAATAATCCAAGTAAAAAAAATGGGCAAAGGACCTAAATAGACACTTTTCAAAAGAGGACATACAGAAGGCTAAGAGATATGAAAAAATGCTCAAAGTTACTAATCATCAGAGAGATGCAAATTAAATAACAATGAGGTATCATCTCACATCTGTCAGAATGGCTACCATCAACAAATCAACAAATGACAAGTGCTGGTGAGGATGTGGAGAAAAGGAACCCTCATGCACTGCTGGTGAAAATGCAGACTGGTGCAGCCACTGTGGAGAACAGTATGGAGTTTCCTCAAAAACTTAAATATGGAACTGCCATTTGACCCAATGATTCCACTTCTAGGAATATATTCTAAGAAACCTGAATGACCAATCAGAAAGAATGTATGCACCCCTATGTTCATAACAGTGCAATTTACAATAGCTAAGATCTGGAAACAGCCCAAATGCCCATTAGTAGATGAGTGGATAAAAAAAAGCTGTGATACATTTACACCATGGAATACTATGCAGCAGTAAAAAAGGACCTTGTACCCTTTTGAGACAGCATGGAGGGACCTGGAGAGTATTATGCGAAGTGAAATAAGCCAGTCAGAAAAAGATAAGTATCACATGATCTCACTTATATGTGGAATCTAAATACAATAAACTGATGAACAAAATAGATCCAGATAAATAGATGCATGGTACAGACTGTTGAATCTCAGAGGGAAGGCAGGGGTGGGTGGGTCGGTGGGAAGAGATTAACCAAAGAACTTTTATGCATAGATGCATCACCCATGGTCACAGACAATAGTGTGGTGAAGGCCTGGGGTGGGGGACAGGGGCAGGCTAGAAGGGATCAATGGGGAAAATTTCAACAATCAAGATTTAAAAAAACAACAACAAGTGGGTGGGAAAAAAAGACTATTCCTAAGGAACTAGCTGGTACATCCATCATTCTGCAACTTAGATTGAAAACAAATCCTCCTTCTACCCTATCCCCTCAAAAAACTAATTACTCACCAAGTCGCATCAATTCTATCTCGCACGTAATCCTCTACTTTTAGTCTCAAAGTCAGGATTCTAGATAGTCTATGGTAATCTCTTACATCTCTACCTCTATGCACTTATTGATTCCACATATTTAACATGGAAAAATGTACCTTAACTTCGAGTACTTTTGAATGAAGTTATGTGTCCTAGCAGATAGTCACCCCTCAAGAGCAGAGCTCTTTACTCGTCTCACCTATCCCTGTGTCTAATGCAGCAGGAGTCAGTCAACAAATACTTAACCAAACCAAAACCATTCTAAAAAAAAAAGAAAGAAAGAAAGAAAAAGCATACTGTATGCATCTTGCTACTGAAGTTCCTGACAAACTAATTTTACGGGCCAAATGCAGCCTGGCAGACCTCTTTTTGCAAAACAGTACTCATGGAAAGGCTCATAACTACAACCAAGTTGACTCACCTCCTAATGAAACATTACAGAAGACTGTCCTGTGTTATAGTTTTTTATTAAACCCCCTTCAAATATTTCTTTGCGGGAGCATTTTTAAGAACCTGGTCACATAACATATACAGATCTCACATCCACTCTTTAAATTCCAAGGTATCACCTTTTTCACGCAGGACCCAGGGCCCCTCCCAGACCACCCCGGGCGGGAGGCAGCCGGTACTTCCGTACACGGTGCACGGGCTTTAGATGGAAGCAGCCCTCAAACGTTGTGGTTTTAGTGGCGGCTTTATCCGCCAACTCCACGGACTTGCCATCTCAAAGTGATAATATATTTCCTCACTTGTCCTATAGTCCCTCCAAATAACTTAGACATAGGTAACAGGCTCCTCTGCTTGTTATGTAAGCATTATCTTAATATTTTAAATACTACAATGCATGGCACACTATGTCTGTGCTGAGTTTCTCCTGCCGCAAACCACTCCAAACACTAAAAATACAAAGAATAAAGTAGGGTCCCTAGAGACTAACTTTGCCAGGACAGACTTTCTTTGAGGCGGAAAGCACCGAAAATAATTGTTGGAGGGGGTGGGGGGAGGGATTTTTTTTCCTTTTTTTTTTTTTTTTTTTGAGAAAAATCTGGAAGTCTTTTTCCCAAAGGGCCCACAACCAAAAAAATGCAAGCGCCGCGCAGGGACCCCGGAACGACCTC